TTGGGCCAGGATTACGGAAACTAGGATTACGTGGCATGACATAATTACGTTGAAGAAAAGCTATACCGTTGTGGGTTACGAACGATACGGTATAGGCTACACTTAATCATATCAGAACGACAGTAAATTTTACACCAGGTATACAAGCACGTGCTAACGTTATTGGGCGATTGATAAAAATATTTAAAAATATAAATAATCTTTATAGGATACGAATATCGCGTGCTGAGATTGAATTATTTGTGGACGCGGTGAAGTTATCTTTTTTTCTCTCTCTCTCTTTTGCTTGGTAAGATGAAAACATAAGAAAAGAAGAAAATTCAAAGTTCGAACGAGTTACCAATACTTTGTCAAACATGAAAGTTCGCGGGGGTTAAAACGTGCGCGCGACGGATGACGGGAAATTGATAAATCTTTATCAGACCGGAAGTTGTCGAGTTGCTCGGGAAGTGCTCTCGGGGATGATCTATGTGGGGTGCACTACGTTAGCCAAGACAGAGTAAAGAGTTCGTGAGTAAGAAATACTTTTTAAATGGTGTTTATCGGTTAAAGTATATTATGAGAGTAAGTGGAGAGATACGTTTTTTTATTTTTTTTTTTTCAACAAAACGGTTTTTTGTATTAACAACATTTTTTTGGATTATACAACAATGCTAGTGTCACGTATAGAATGCGAGGGGTAGAAATGATACCTAGAGATGTGGAATAAACATCGGTGGGAATTCTAGGGCAAAGCAACGATAACGTCTAGTCGAGTGATAAAACGAGAACGCAGATAAAACTCGTAGTGGGTCCAAAGTGATAAAGTGAAACAAAAGGGTCGCAAGAGTGTCCAAATGATACAGGCTATAAAGAAGAGAAATCTCGGTAAGGGTATAGCAGAGTAGCTGACATACAGGGAGCGAAGCGTGTTGCGTCTCAAAGTGTTTGTTGAAACAGCCTGTAGAACGCGAGGGTTAAATTCTCTTGGCAGGATATAGTACGGAAGATTAAATGGCAATGTCTCTCCTTGGAATTGCACATCTGTTTGGACGTTCGGGATAAGAGTCCTGCAGGATAGTCGGTTATTATCCTTGAAGGAATTGCCAGTGTGACTAACCGTGACATAGAGGTGTATGTTAATTATATTTTTTTTCGAATGGCATTTTGGGACCTTTGAAAATCAATTCGTTTCTTTTTTTTTATAAATTACATAATTTTTGTTATCTATAACGCTTGTAAACGGAATTGCAAAAATACAAATGTGACTTGTTAATGTTACCGTGTAAATGAATAATAAAATAGTTAATACTTATTGTCATTTTTTGTAGCAATTCCTTGTTGCAATTTCAGGTATAAAATGCTTTGAGGACATCGACTTGCACTTATCATTACCCATAATACTCTTGAGGCTGGGTTGCATCGCCGTGAAATTTTAAATGCATCCCTTTGTTGCAATTTACATAGCATTTCAATTAGCGGATATGCAATCGATTGCACTGCGCATGCGCGTCACTGCACTACTGCTCGTTTCCGCCTGATCCGTCTATTCAATATTTGCAACAATTGACAATCGTATTGCCGTTCCGTGTACAATGCTGCCAACTCTCGACCTGTCTTGCTCCTTTTGTTTACAGGGGATGCGATTTTTTTTTGTATACAATTTTCAATATCGTTACCCCTTAGTCGGAAACGTCCCTCGCCACAGAATTTCGAACGGTACCACCGGTAGCAGCGATACCAAACCACCAGAGAGAATGGAGTACCTAGCCCTTTTTATCGTTAGGTCCTTTTTTACGAATGTTTTTTCTTTTTCGGTTTATCATCGTTTCGTTCATATCTCTCGGGTTCTTTCTGCGTCCCAGCTTTCGGGCGCTATTGGTAAATGTCTCCCGCGGTGCCCCTTTTGTACTCGTGAAAAATAATTCGCACGGTCCTGCGAGTCTTCTGTTACGTCGCTCGCAATTCCATCGACTTTCAGGACTTTTCATCGACGAGGCGTCGAGTGTTGACGCGAAGAAAATGAAATTAGTTCCTGACGAGCGACTACAGAGAGCGCGCACGTGCCGAGGATCATTGTTTTCATTGTTGCTTCTTCGGAAAAGCTTTTTCGCGTATTTTTCGAAAAAAATCATACACAAGCAATCGTGTATCACAATATCGTATAAAGTCGATATATTTCAGAAAAATCCTCATGACGTTTGCGTGAGGTATTATTACTTCGCGTTCTTAAAGTTGAATAAACCTACCCCCCTCACCATTAATACTCCTGTATTTAACAAGGGTGCCAAGAGACGTCAGTGCCGGACCAACCGACGGTAGTGCCATCGGCCGCAACTCCACTCCCTAACGGTTTCACGAACAATTCTCGCTTGACGTTGCAATTATAATTAATTGCAACCTGCGGCCTTCCATTACGCAATATGGCAGACGCTTTCATGGCAGTCTCTCAGCTGACTATATCAATACGCTTGTATATATATTTGTATATACGTATACATTGTATACCGGAAACTCGTAATAGCAACTCCTTCGAAGCCTGCTCTTGCAGCTAATGGAGCACAGAATTGCGTAGATTGATTGTAAGTGCAGTTGCATTAGCCTTGCACTGTATGGAAATTAGGAAGATGTAAGTAAAAAAAAAATTTACTAAGTGCACATGTAATCGTATTGACAACGGTAATTAAGAGTCTACCAAGAAATAACATAGCAATTTAACTCGATACTGAAATACGCTGTTTTTTTTATATAATTCATACTGATACATATCCTTTGACAATTCCACCATATAAGACCATCTTATACACGATTACGACTTCCATGACACGAAGATAAAGACGAGCCCGAAATATCCACCCGTAAGATATAGATCCAAATTTATACAGGGTGTCGTGAAATTTATGACACGATATAATCCGATATTCATCTCGTATCAGTGAACCCGTACGAGCATAAATTCTGATTGGATGATGTCGACGGTTTCATAGGGACTTTTCCTCGGATCACTTTCGGCCATTTGCTTTCTTCTGCATCCTTATTGCAATCTGTCTGCGCATCTTCCGGTATAATATTTTACATGTGTATTCGGCTCTATATGCATGGATGCACGAATGCAATCAGGTATACATGCCGTTATTACTATTATTATATTTTGTACGCAGCTCAGATATATGAAGCCGAAATATTTAGTCACTGCATTCCGTCAAGCAAAATTCGAAATTCCTATTTTGATTTTATCCGGAAATTCTTGTGTCGCTCGTGCGCATAGCAGGATGGGAAAAATTGAAAAAGTTTGATTTATGGATTCAATCGTGTGACTTTTAATGAATTTACGGGAGATTCTACGAGTTTGGATATCCTCTGTGTTTCTGTGTATACAGATTGGCACATGTATTTATGTATAGGTAGCCATTTGCCTATTTCTCTTTACGTGAGTAGCGGGGATTACTCTGGTAAAGGAAAATGGGCATTGCGAAATTTGTCGGGTTGCACAATTCAAAAGTGCATTCGTCAGAGGGACGTGTAGGCTTATGTCGAAATTGAATTTTTTTATGTTTTTTTTTTCCTTACTTTTCAAGATTTTACTACCATCGGTTCGGTATCGAAAATATTTTCGGTTTTTTTGTATACAAAATTTTTGGTTATATCTCCTGCCACGTGGACTTGCAGTTACGAAAGTTAACGTTGCAATGGGTTTGCGAAATGCACAAAGTGCATATTTGACAAAGCGCATCTAGGCTGGATAAAGTTGAGACGTGTCGCAAAAAGTCGAATATTCGTGTATACGCTCGTCTATAGATATATAGTATAACACGTAAGTCGTGTGTGGATGCATACGTTGAATTGCATGTATAGATATACAGAAATGCCTATGGGCATGTGTATTTAAATGTATATAGGTATAGAATGGAGAATTGTCGTAGAATTGGCGAATTTTACGCTCAACCAAGTGTCGCGATAGTCAGCGAATTTTTGCAACCTCAACCCTTTTACATCCCCTAGCAACCCCGATGCGCTATGTCACGCGATAAGAAGCGTTTCAACCCTTGGTAGGACGGCACTTACCCCACATATCTGGCGTCACCTTCTCCTCTTTGTCGTTTCTTCGACCCCCGATTTCAAATCTACCCTTTGCCACTCAAAATGTAACGTGGTGAAGGGTCTTTTTTTTTTTTTTTTTTTTTTTTTTTTTTTTTTTTTTTTTTTTTTTTGAAGCAAAATAAAAGAATTTTAAAATTCGTAACTAGACGTATCTCTTATTGAGCACGAAGCTTTTGGGGTGGATGCCCGTAAGGCCTTATTTTTTCATTCTTTTAGGTAAAGCCTGAAATTCGCAAAAGGAGCCTCAAGAGATAAGACTATAAGGGTGGCTGTATAGCTGGGTTAAGGGTAGGATCAGTATGGCAGGAGGAATACAGACCGGATTGTCCGTCAATTATCGAAGGATCGTATCATCCCTTCCGTACCCGATCCCTCCGTTCTTCTCGTCACATTCGTTCCGTCTTCATCCCCTATTCCCAGTTTCCTTCGGAGACTCCAGTTCCCTTCGAATTCCAACCCCTTGGCACCCCATTCCCTGTAACAGTCCGCTGGCGTTATTTCGGGGGTAGTTTCTTGGCCAAGTATAGCTGACACGCATACCTATAGATACAACTTAAGGGGGGCGATCTCGTGGGGATCGAAGAGAGAAGTAGGACCGACGACCAGGACTGTAATAAGGGTTACAGATTGCCCCCCAATATAGGGGCGCACTCTCCGTGCCTTCCAGAATCAGACCCCTGTGTCTCGCGAACGTCGGGGGGTTGCTTTGGCTTTTATCCCGCGTAGAAGGGGTTGGAATTTCGCGCGTGCTCCGCTTTTCCGCCCACCTCCCATCCCCCTCTACCGCCGACCCCGTTCATCCCCTTCGGTCCTCCAGCCCCTCGTCCACGACGTTTCCCTCGACTACCCCCTTGGTCGGATACTGAGGGATGCTGAGGGATGCTGGAGCGCGCCAGTGAAGTGTCAGTTCTGCGCGCGATTCCCACACGGAAGGACTCAATTTCCAACCGTGGGAATATTTGAGTCCGCGACGCCAGGACGCCCGGCGTCGGTTTGTGAATTTTAACGGAACGTATTTTCTTTTTTTAGAGAAAAACAAAATTTGTTCGGATTCCGTTCGTCAGAGAGCTGTGGGAATAAATCTTTTTGTTTAAAGAAGGAACGGAAGGAAAAACGAGAGCACAGCTTTAAAAGACTTTTTTGTTTTGGAAATTTAATGATTTCATGAAAAAGTTTTATTTCTCTTGTGAACGAACGTGTTTCGCAGTGAAGTCTTTGCCAGTTTCTCATTAGGAAGTTGCTCGTCTTTTATGTTTCGAATTGTTATGATGATTCGGAAAGTTTTACGAGGCACGAGTAACGTGGGCAATAGGCAACGCACACACGTGTTACGCTGAGATGCGTTTTGGAATGTTCGCCGTGGGAGATGCACGTTACTGTCTTGCGGTAAGGATTTCTTATACGTGATAAATGATAATAAATTCTTATCTTTTACATATATGGTTATTGGAACGAGAAAGTCAATAGGGGCTGTCGATTTGGCTGCATTATCATTTTTCTTTTGAAAAGTGTCCTTTCTACTTTTTTGATATACACTTTTTTTAAGGAAATGAATTTGAAAATTTATTCTGGGTCCTCTACGCACATATATTTTGACATATGTTATGTAGACACGTATATAAATAGGGGTAGAATCCCTTGCGGCATTCCTATTGCTTTGGAAAGTAGGGTCAAAATTGTCTCCAAAATAATATATGCCATACCTTTTTTTTTTTTTTGTATTTTGAGGTAAAGTACCGAATCTCTATACAGGGGAAATTAGCATTGTATTTTGATTTTCGTAGTACGTGAGTTACCGCCGATGGGTATCACAGGAGAAACTAGAATTTTGCAAATTTTAGTAATACTCGTGAAAACGTTAAAAGATAAGTGGAAAAGAATGTCAACAAAAATATTAAAAACAGGGTCAAAGGTCACTGGACCGCCCGGTGCCGATCGACATTAATTTACTGTCCTCTTTCAATCATCTGTTTCCTCTGCAAGTAAAAACTCGCCTTAAGGCAAGACTTGAGTGAGTTTTCAAACTCTTGCACTCGCGACTATAACCTGCTAAAAATCTTTCGAGAAAAAGATGAAAATTTCCATTGCAAAATCCACACAGCATCCCTCTTATTTATGCTGGTCATATTCCAACTGCATAAAATACCAACTGCTGCGAGAAATCTGGTCGAAGACAATACGAATGTTTTTACATACCATATTTCTATATTTACCTGCTTGACAAATTTTCAGACGTGCCAAAACTGTCAAATCGTAATTCCGAACTACATGGAAAGTACAATTTGAGTTGATTTTTCAGGATATCTTTACGTTTCTCATTTTCACAAATTTTTAAGAAAAGTATATGTATATTTTACGTACGTATCTCCAAACAGAAGTAAACGTATTTCCAAAGCGTGTTGACTGTTGGTGGTAAAGAAAAAGTCGATAGAGGAAAATGATTGTAGAAATTGCACTATAGTGCATCGAGCACTGTTAAACTGTTGTAAGGTGCATAAACTCCATAGACAACAGCAGTAAGTCGTGAATGCCTGAATGAATTATCGAAAGAGGATTTTCTTCCAGTCGACTTCTATTGTGTCCGTAGTCGGGTTTCGGTGAAAAGCTGCGAAACTTGGGAAAGATTAAGATTGTCTATTGCATCACTGTACTGTTGCATAGAGACGTAACGATACATTGTGATAAGCTGATAACAGATATAAAAAAGCGGGATAAGATATATAAGTCATTAAGAATAACTTTTTTTTCTTGACACAGACAAATTTGAGAAATACATCTCCCTCTCAAAGTACTTTTAAGTTCAAGCTATACGCAGCTTGGAAAAAAATTGAAGAAATTAAAAAATTGTAAATTTTATTCCAATCTCGGATACTTCAACGGTAATGAAAAAAATTTTGAATTTTATTTTTTGAGAAGTTTAAACCTTCCTGCCGGGTCGGTAAAGAGGAAGTGGAGCCATTAAAAATTCAATTATATGAAGTAATTTTCATGAAGCTACCTTTTTTGTCTTTCACGACGAAACTGTATATATACATATATCTATAAGGATTAATAAAGGCACGCGCGCAGTCGCATAATTGGTAAGCATGAAACAATTTTCGGGGAAGGAATTTTTTTCAAATTCCAGGTAGAACTTTGGAGATAAAAGTTCAGAAGGTAATCCGGTGATGAAGTTGATAAAAAAATCTATTCAAAAGTCAAACGAATTAGCACCGAAATATGGGTCCGACTAATTACACGTCATTCGTTGTTAACCAATCCGTAAGCTCCTGTCTCTCTCTATCTCTCTCTTCCTCCCACTTTTCCATTTATTTTCTCATCTCTTTAACCAACACTAACCCAGACTTCGCATTACCAATTTATTACGTGTAAATGAAAAAAATAATGACATACCATATATACGTATATAAAAAATACATATATTTTTATCACACATTTCATGTATACTTACATACATTGTTTCGCTATAATCAATCTTGCGTTACTCGTTACGTACGTCACATGCATATATCTATATGTTGCAACGTAAAAAAAAAAAAAAAATATTAATTTGCCACAACAGCAGCGCTAAACCAGCGCGACGTTTTACGTAGCAACTAATCGAATTACGAATGACGTCATAATTTTACAAAGTCGAAAACTCCCATTGGCAATTTTGCAAAATTTTACAAAAGGCTCGCGAATAACCCACGTAGCGTATGACGTCACGACCAATTTCGCGTTTACTTTGATAACTGCAAAAATACGTTATTACCAGTCCCTACATACTCGCATGTGTTTGCGCGCGTGAGTCGAAAACAAGTCAGGACATTTTGGTGACGACAGTTCGCTTAACGAGCTTTGAAATTTGTTTGTCCCGACGTACGTAGGTGGATAATCTTCAAACTTTAAAAAAAAATGAGTTTTTGTCTGTATGTCGAATTTTTTTTGTGAAATTTATATTTTTTTATATTTTCATAAAAAGATCGCTGAAAAATTAATACTACAACTCGGATACGCATAGCGCTGGTTAATTAACTGACGTTTTCATGAAACTTTGGAAGCCGCGTTTACTCTATATGCGTGCGTCCATGTGCGTACGACATTTGTGACGTATTTTGCTATTAATTTGCTTTTTCAACTGGTCGCAGTGTATACCGGAAATTCAGTTAAAGTACGGAAGTGCGTATTACGTAGGCGTGAATAATTCTAGCGGGTCATTGGAAATTTTTCGTTTTCACCGCCAAATTAATTATAGGGATCAATAAAAATTTTGTGGAAAAAATTCGGAATGTTATGTGAAATCGGTTTTTGGATAATTTCATTATGAATAATTTCATTATGAATAATTAAAGGTGTTAATTGATTGTTCATATCATTGATATGTTAAAAACCAGACATTCAAAGCCGAACGTTATTTTTATTTCGGAATTTATGAAAAATTATATTTATCACTGTTTTTTAATAAATACTGTACATAACTGGGTTATCTATTTTGGTTTGTGCGTAATATGTAATTCTTTCAACAAATTTATTTCACTATCTACCCCTTCGCGTGTATATTATTATGCGCCGTTAACGATCTCGTATTTAACGATGCTAGGCCATTTCCGCAATTCGCGAAAAATAATTCATGTCTGTTCATACACGTGTACTTTATAAAGGTACAATGCGCTAATAAATGCTAATAAATCTTGCCGATGCTAACAACACTCGAGCCTCTCTAGACGTTAACTGTATTATTAACGTCTAGGTGTATTTATATTTCAGGCTCTTTCGTCCAAGATTTATTTACCCGCGAAACCCGATACTGAAACCCTTTTCTTGGCACGGCCCTGAATCCACCATACTGTGTACATAGGTATCCTATATCCATTATATCTATATACATTATGTACCCACGCGACGTAGAAGTTCCTCAAGAAAGTTCTCAGGAAGTAGAACGTCATTTTAAAGATTGCTATAAGGGTCGATAGCGATCCTTTTTTCTTTTTTGCGATATACCGAGTTTGTCCTATATTGACGTTTTGAAAAAAAATTTTTAAACTTTTGCTAAAAATCAATTCTGACACGAGAACAGGTGTATTTGAAAGTCACCAGTGAGGAGGAGATTGTCAAAAATGACGATTGGACGGATGCAAATTTTAAAGGAGTGGGGATAAATAAAAAAAATGACAAAAAACTGACGGAAGTGACCAAGCAGCCATTGCAAAGTGACAAAAATCCAGCTACCCTGCACGACGCCTACAGGATGTTCAGTTCGTAATAATATCGAGGATGCGGAAAGAGTCTAAAAAAATTGTCGCTAAAAAGGTTTTCAAAAATATTTTTTTTTATCAGCCACGCAGCCAGGTCGACATTTTAATTGTATCATTTTAATTGACGCACCAATGCTATTTCATGCAACCAGACTGGAGTCTCTTTCAAAAGCTGACAACAAATTCACCCAATTTGTATCGCGGATATCGTGTACTTATCGGTGCAATGAAAATTGCAAAAAAAATACGTACGACCCAAATACGTTCGCGCAATTCCAAAAAATCATTCTACCAAACACGATGTCGACCTGACAATTGAATTCGGTTCGCGAATAGTCACAATGAGAGAGAAGAAAAAGCGCTTTTGAAAAACGCAAAAAACATCAGCGCTGGCACAAAAAGAAAAGTCAATTGAATACGAAAACGGGAACGTGGAGGAGTTGCAGAAAAAAAAATTAAATTTCTCGAAAGGCAAAAAGTGAGATGAAAAATAAAAAAAATACGTGCGAGCATAATGCGCACCTGTATGTGCGTCAAGCATACACGTACAAGGCTCGCGTAATAGAACACGTCAATTAATGGGAGACGCAAGAAAAGTGGATGTGGTGGGAGGTGGCGGTGGGTGGCGGATGACACGTAATTAAAAGCGGGCAAATCTCGAGGTGGCTATCACGATAATTAGCGATGGCTCTGGGGCTGCGTGGACCTGGGTTGGTAGGGGGATGGTCGGCGGTGAGGCTGAGTTGGATTATATAGCGGGTGGACCGGTGAGACTATCGCGCGAGTTTCTCAAGTAAACGTCCCCGGGCTTAATTCCCGCAGGACGACTGAAACCGGGGGCTCGGATTCCACCGAGGGAGTTACTGACATTCGGATTATTCTCGGGACCATTTTCACCGCGAAGTGGCCATTTTCTGAATAATTATGAAAAAATAATTGTAAAAAATTCTTCACCAGGGTCACTCGGCCGAAACTCATGATAAATCCACGTTCAGGTGGGTCGCTTGAGCTGAACAGCTCTGACACACCTGGGTCCATGTATCGAATGTAATACACAGAGTACATTCAGTGCGTGTGAAAATCTGTATTCACGACTTTCGAATAATATTTCCACGATTTTGCTTTGAGGTAGGCATACATTTTTATTTA